CCGACAACGTACTCGCGAGCCCTCTGGCATTGGAGTGTGAATGGGCAGCGGTATCACTTAACATCAGATGAGCCTCCTGCCCGTTTGCCACCTGATCTATAAAAATGCATTATTCGCGTCGTATCTTTGTTTGTCCCAACATTGTTGGGATCTCGTATGTTTTGGGACACCCGTCCCTTAGAACTAGAGGAGTTATGAAATAGAGAGTACACTTCTCTACATGGATGGGCAGTCTCAAAAGATAGACTGTGGCTAAATCGAGTCTAGGAGAACAACAATTGCCATACTAAACGAGAATTCCTTTAACGCCAAAAACATTGCTAATTAATTTGAATGATTGATAATCTATTGTATTCATAACCTACAGTTTTAGTTGCGAAACTAAGCTATGTATACATCGTTAACAAAGGAAACATAAAATATAGTTCTTATATTACACTAAAACAAATCCAAAACGATTTAGTCCTAAATTTACAACTAATGGTCTAAGATCCCGCTATACAACGACCTTCACCGAGATGCTTATTTAATGAAACGTATTTTATATTTAATTTAATATGTCAATAAATATAATCCATATGGGTTGTCTAGCAAATTTCAGTCCAGAGTATGTTTAATTAATAATTTAAAAAAAATATTTTTTGAAACATTTCACCGGTATGATTATTAGATAAATTCTATACCAATCGAAAGTATAAAGCCCATAGAATATGCAAACTTTATGCTGCCCATTCTTTCCGGTCACAACTATCGGGTTGCCAGGTATAAACAGGTAGATCTGTACTAGCATTTGCAACGGTCTGTTTATTGAATGAAATTTAAATGAAATTAAAGATTATTTTATTCTGAACACGGTGGTATAGGGTTGGCTGCGAAAAATCAGTCCAGAATTGCGGTTGTCGAATTTTAAAAAGTAAAATATTGCTCCAAGTGAATGTGTGCGACTGAGAGGTCCCAACCGACCATCCCATGCGATAGAAGAGGACACAGCATAGCAGCTGTTTAAAGTCCGCCCACTTAAAGAAAGAGAGTGCGCATGCTATTTGGGCTTGGAAAAGAAAAGGATAGCGATGGACTCGTATATACTATGCATCATTTTGGAGTAGTTTATTATTTAAATAGAGAAATAGTTATTTAATTTTTTTTTATCAATTAATTATTTATTTGTATATTTTTTATGTGACACTAACTTCTGAATCTTCTTCGTCATCACTCTCTGTTTCACTTTTTTCGACAATGTCTTCTATCTATAAAGGTGTATGATCCCCAATGAATCCTACTGGTTTTAAATATTCATCTAAGAACCATCCGCAGTTCTCAGGCTCAAGTTTCACATATATTTGTAGATTTATAATTTGCATGTAGTAAATTTTTTAATTTTTTTCAATCAATATTTTTAATCAGGCTGGTATTATATATGAATCACTATAACCTTCTTTTTTACTAAAGATGTATATGTCACCGTAAAATTGTAAATACCGTTAGATTGTAATCTATCTCGCGAGATTATAAACTGTCGAAAGATTGTGAACCTCAGCGTACTGCTTACAATTTAACGTATTATTATTCGGTAGATTGTAATCTATCGAAGTGAAGCCGTCAAATTGTGAAACGGTACGCACCTCGAGCGCTGATTGGTCGGCTTTATAGTAGACCGTTATATGTCCATAGAGTTAGGAATGAAACAAGGGTATCGGTCAAATAAAATGAATGCACTTCAAAAATTAGTATTTATTACTTAGTAGGTAATCAATAATTCTGACATCACATGATAAAAAAAATATATCAAAATAAAAAAATCAGAAACGTAACAATATTTTCTCTTCAAACACAAATTAAAATTGAAAAATTAGTTCAATTTTCTTTCATTTCATTTCCAACACTAACTTAGTTATCATTCAAACTTCTTTGGTCAATCACAGATTAATTTTACTTCCCAATAATTTCATATAACTAATTCTAAAGCTGTGAGTTACTTACAACACGACATCAATTTACATTCATCAAAACAATCAATTTATATTCGACAACAAACAAACAAATATGGTGGCGCGGGGCATATTCTGTTCTATTAATCAGCGCGCGAGGTGCGATCCGTTTCACAATTTGACGGTTTCACTTCGATAGATTACAATCTACCGAATAATAATACGTTAAATTGTAAGCAGTTCGTTGAGGTTCACAATATTTCGACAGTTTACAATCTCGCGAGATAGATTACAATCTAACGGTGTTTACAATTTTACGGTGACATATACGTAGTCGGTCCCAAAGTTCTGTCATAAATGGAAATAATGATAAAAACAAAAGTACTGATCAGTTTGTAATGAGTGATATATCAATTCTTAGTAAATTAATTAAGGAATAAAAATAGCATAAAAATATTCGAAATAACCTCCCTCATTTTTAATACAGGCCCTTAAGCGTCGCGGCCAGTCGTCTATCGCAGCACGCACCATATTCGTGTCCATTTCAGTCACTGGTTTTTTTAAAGATGACTTCAGATTCTCCAAATTTTCATGAGGTTTATCACAGACCTTCCTCTCTAAGCCCTGCCATAATTTCTGGTCCAAAGGATTAAGGTCCGGACTGGAGGAAGGCCAATCCTCATGTCTAATTAAGACGATGTTTTGACGCTCAAACCAGGCTTTAGTGGTCTTGGCTTTGTATGCAGACGCAGAGTCCTGCTGGAACACGAAGTGATGTCCCGCAAATAGGGTGCTGGACATGTCTTTGACAAGGCGATACAAAACCGTCTCTTGGTACACTGTAGGCTGTAGCACTGGTTTTGACCCCCTTTTCGAAAAAATTAACCTCAGTTAGCCCGTAATAGGACACTCCCAACCAAACCATTACTGATGATGGATGATGTCCATGTTGCACCCTTGGAACTTTATTTTCAGCTTCTTCAGAACTCTTAGCGTACACTGTATAATTCTGTTTATTGTACTTCTCTTCAATATCGAAAAATTTTTCGTCCGTAAAGAGGATATCACGGTGTCGGTTTTTCGCGTACCGCTTAAACAACACCCGCGATCTCTTAAGCCTTATTGCTTTTAGACGAGCATTAAGTAAGTGCCCACTCTTTTTTTGTATGCTCGTAGACCAAGATCTTCATTTAAAACCTTTTTTACTGTTTTCCTACTGACACCCATCTGCAAATCCATCAACTTCTGTTTTCGGACAGGATTTCTTACTATCCGCGCCTTGATAGCTTTGATTACTGCTGGTGTTCTTGCGGAGCGTGGCCAGCCAGTTCTTTTCTTGTCCTCAACACTGGAGACTTCAAGGTACCTATCAATAGTACCGTACACAAAACTAAGCGTTATATTCAAATTTTTGAGCAACTTGAAAATGGTACTCGGCGAGTGTCCACAGCGGTGCAACGCAATAACAACTATTCGGTTTACTTTCAATGTCCACTCCATCGTGAAAAATTACGGAAAGTTATTGTTTTTTGTTTTAAAACAATAATCAAACATTCCAAAATAGAATGCAATAATTTTTTTATAAAATCCTGCTCGAAATGTGGAAATAATGTGCTAGTGACAGAACTTTGGGACCAACTACGTATATACTTTAGTGTCACAAAAAATATACACATAAATAATTAATTTATTAAAAAAAAATTAAATAACTATTTCTCTATTTAAATAATAAACTACTCCAAAATGATGCATAGTATATACGAGTCCATCGCTATCCTTTTCTTTTCCAAGCCCAAATAGCATGCGCACTCTCTTTCTTTAAGTGGGCGGACTTTAAACAACTGCTATGCTGTGTCCTCTTCTATCGCATGGGATGGTCGGTTGGGACCTCTCAGTCGCACACATTCACTTGGAGCAATATTTTACTTTTTAAAATTCGACAACCGCAATTCTGGACTGATTTTTCGCAGCCAACCCTATACCACCGTGTTCAGAATAAAATAATCTTTAATTTCATTTAAATTTCATTCAATAAACAGACCGTTGCAAATGCTAGTACAGATCTACCTGTTTATACCTGGCAACCCGATAGTTGTGACCGGAAATGAATGGGCAGCATAAAGTTTGCATATTCTATGGGCTTTATACTTTCGATTGGTATAGAATTTATCTAATAATCATACCGGTGAAATGTTTCAAAAAATATTTTTTTTAAATTATTAATTAAACATACTCTGGACTGAAATTTGCTAGACAACCCATATGGATTATATTTATTGACATATTAAATTAAATATAAAATACGTTTCATTAAATAAGCATCTCGGTGAAGGTCGTTGTATAGCGGGATCTTATACTACTAAGAAATATTACAAATCACCATGTCTCTTTTTGCAATACGCATGGATTTTTAAAGCAATTCGACTTAGGGTCCTTCAAGAAAAGAGCGTACCAATTTTTAAAAGGCCGGCAACGCACTCACGAGCCCTCCGGCATTGAGAGTGTCCATGGGCGGCGATATCAGTTAACATCAGGTGAGCCTCCTGCCCGTTTGCCCCCTGTTCTATAAAAAAAATGTTTGATTATAGTACTGACCCGTTATACAAATTATACCCAAAGGCCAATTATTACATATTTTCCGTACAAACATACCAATATATTTTTGCGCAAACAATGTGGTATTTGAAATTTAGCTGTGTTAAAATTAACATAACGAGCCGAAATTATGTTGGAAATTATATGTTATGGCAACACAACAACCGAACCTGCCTATTTGAAATAGAATTAGAGATTTCAAAAATAACAATAAGTATTGTAAAACCTACCATTATTTTACAAACGCAAAAGATTGTCTACTTGAAATAAAAATATTTTGCAGTAAAAGGTAAAATACTCAACAAATTCATGCCAAAAAACGAACCTAAGACGCTAAACTTCTAAAAGAACGCAACCATTTTGAAATCACTTAGAAAAAATGTGTCGTTCAAATATTGTTCAAAATGTCCCAATATTAAGTCACCAGTAAGTACACAATACACTTAGAACTTGTAATTTTCGTAAATATTCATACAAATGACCCGACCCTCTTACCTTGCTGATAAACAGACAAACGAAGTGGTACGTGATTTACATTTTAAGAATTGTTTGAAAACAAAAGTTGGATCAGATATTGTTTATTTTTAGCTAAAGTCATTTGCAAATACGATCTATCTTCAGGCTAATAAGTAATTTAAGTCTAACCTAATTAACTAAAAAGGATAACTTAAGAAAGTGACCAATAAAACTACTTACAGTCTCTATTAAAAGGGAAGACACTCTTCTTTCTTTCTTTCTTGTGTACTAGTTCTTCCACTTACCACTGTTTAGCACTTAAGATTAACGTGTACACTAATTCAAATGGTTTTGTTCGAAGATCTGATTATTATTAAGAGGTCGCAAAGTACAAAAAAAGTCTCAACGGCGTTACTAAATACATTAAAAAAAATATTTTTAACATATATATATTATGTATTTTGCTGGAGCAGTGTTGGCCAAGTGGCTTCAGCGTGCGACTCTTATCCTGCGTTGTGCAGACCTAAAAAGGTTGTAGTGACACTGATTTTATATATTTTGCTGCTGTTTCCTCGTTTAATATCCTTGATGCTTAATATATTTGTCCTCTCCTTTTTAATATTACAAAAAAGGATGAAATTACTTCAGGCAACGCTTTGAGCGGAAAAATACTTTAAATATATTCTGTAGAATTCTATTTAGTTCAATTCTCTGCAACAATCTACAGAATACATTAAGGATGATATATATTTAATATGACCTACTAAAAGCGAAGAATTTAATAAATATATTCACTTTATAAGATCATGGATATAAAAAGAGAGATTTATTGAATGTTTGTAAGGAAAATAAAACCACAATTTCAAGATTTTTTCACCATTGAAATTCTACATCAGGAGGAACATAGGCTAAATTAATTTCTTATATATTTAAATATATTGATATGTCCAACCGTTAGTAGCCGAGACAGGGCTGTTTTAAAATAACTGTATTATAGTATTTTATACGTAAAGATATTGAAGAGACTGTAAAAAGCCTGTTATAATTTTTACTAATATTGAAAGAGTTGAGCGTGCTTGGAAACTATTTTTTGAATTTAATAAATCTTTTTGTGATGTTGAACAACCTTTACACACGTCTTTAATATAAATACATCAGGGACTTGATAATCTAAACCCTTATCGAAATACTTGAACGCCTTTGAAATGTCATCGGTCCAGCCGTTAAGAAGGACTTTAATTACACGCACAGATTTATATATATGTATAAAGATTACATCATACGATCAAATTAGCGTGGGTAAAACCGTTGGGTGGGTAGTAAATAATGGGAGACTGCATGAATATTACAGATTTAAATATAGTTTTTATTTTTTTACTTAAAGAATCTAAATATTTTCTACAGTAAAGGAAACTAAACCAAAAACTTTTTGTGATATATATTTATTACGATTTACAACGAGAAACCTTCTACGCTTAATGCAGTTCACTTAAATATCAGAGTAAAATAAATTATAAAATCCAGTCTGCCTTGAGCTTCTTCGATAACAGTGCATATTTATATCATTTTGCTTATGCAATTGCTTGTAAAAAATATAAGGCGTTTTTTAAATTACCTACCTTCTAATATTATAGACAACAAATATGAAACAAGATTTTTTATACTAAAGCTGGCTCCTAGAAGGAGACCGCGCGTTTGGTCTATTTTAGCTACTTTCACAGCATAATGTCTTACGGCATTTTACTGTGGGGTCGGGCTGCTGACATAGAATCCATTTTTATTTTGCAAAAGAGAGCGGTCAGAGCCATTTATAATCTACGTCGTTGCGAATCTCTCAGGGAACTATTTAAAAAGATTAATATTATGACAGTACCTTGCCAATTCATTTATGAAAATATTATGTATGTAAGAAAGAATCTACATCTTTTTAGTAAAATAAATGAAAGACATAATTTTAGTACTAGAAATAAAGATAAAATAGCTCAACCATCTTTCCGATTAGCCAAAGTTCAAAATTCATTTATGGGGTACTGTGTGAAATGTTACAATAAAATACCTGGTGACATTTTAAAACTAAATGAACGAAAATTTAAATGTTTTATTAAAAGTACACTTTGTAAACAAGCATATTACAAATTAGATGATTATATTCAAGATAAGAATGCTTGGAAATATGCTGGTCCTGCTCCATAGGACAATCATAGAGCCTGGACAAAATCAAATTGGTTGCTGATTTTTTGCTTTAACATATTTTTGTTATTTCTTTTTTTTAAATTTACGTATAATGCTACAAATGTAATTATTTTATTGTATCTCACACACTGTTTTGTTGTGTTTTTTTAATATTTTTATTACTCTTTAATGTTAATATTCTACGGTTTCGATATTTGTAAATATGTGAGGAACATGTATACTAACTTTTTTAGTATAGTAGTTTATTCTAAGAGTACATTGACTTCACATATAATTATTTAACAAATGTAACAAAATATTGTAAACCTATTTTAAAAAGAGTAAGTGTGGAGTTTCTTGCCCATTCTTCTCCACACAAAACTACCTTTTGGAAGGGGCAACTAGAATCTTCTTTGTATTTTTTTTGACGTTCAAAAGTGCCATTTTAGATGGTCTAATTGAAATAAATGATTTGACTTTGACTTGACCATCACCGTAGGGCACCACCTCTTTTCTATGTGGGAAATAAACATTCGCTCGAACGGTGAAGGAAAACATCGTAAGAAACGGCTGGGCTTAGACCCAAAAAGTCGACGGCATGTGTCAGGAGGCTGATCACCTACTTGCCTATTAGATTGATAAATGATCAGGAAACTGATTCAGATATCTTAGGTCTAGACCTAAAAAGGTTGTAGATTGATTTATGACACTGATTTATTTATTTTTAATTAAATATTATGCAGACTATTTGACAACCTTCAAATTATACTTTGATTATAAGCGCGTGCTAATGATATTTCAATCGGGATTTAATGTATTCAAATGTACTATTATACTTAGTTACTCAATTACAACTCATATCTATGTAATATATTAAATATAAGAAATATTTTGATAGAACAGCGATAGTCTCCATGATCGACTAATGCCGTTTTTACATTTATCAAACTTATCAAATTAAAAAAATACATTTTATCTAGTATTTGAGAAAATACCATTTTACACGTTACCAGACTATATTTAACATAGAAGGAACCTTACCTTCTGGCCACGGCCTTATGCTTTAGTTAGACTCAGCGACTAAGTTTTTTTTAACAAAGCGTATAATTAGTGAGTTAATACTGATTTTTTTTTACAGAGGCTGTCACTGCACATCGCGGTGGTGGTACTGTCACTGTACCACACCTGCAAGGCTATTAGAATTGGCCGTGCCATACCGAACCCTAGCCAGAACTATGCAGTGCTTGGGGAACCGATCGATGCAAATTTAGATGAAGATGGCTACTTTTATCCAAAGCCGAAGATACCGTTTCCGCCACCGACAAGACCTCCTGCACCACCTTCAAAACCACCACCAGTGAACTCAGAAACAGACGGATATTTTTATGAAAGGCCGCGTTTACCATTCCCACCCCCTCCACAGCCGCCGAGGATTCCTTCACCACCACCACCACAACCACCGAGAACCCCTCCACCTCCCCCTCCGCAACCTCCAAGAACACCGCCAACACCCCAACCACCACGTTTTCCTCCATATCAACCGCCAAGGATACCACAACCCCCACCGCAGCCTCCACGGTTTCCACCATATCAGCCACCGAGGATTCCTGAACCATCCAATAATGGGTATAAATACAATACGCCACGGATTCCATTTCCAGTATCAACAACAACAGTAAAACCTGTAACCTATTCTCCTCCTCCACCTTCAACATATCTACCACCTACAAGACCTCCACCTCCCCCTCCCCCAACCACTAGGCCACCTCCACCTCCTCCTCCACCTACTACAAGAGCCCCTCCGCTCACAAGACCGCCTTTACCTCCATCACCCAAAACTCAAACAACTGGTTATAATTATCCTAAGCCAACAGTTCCATTTACATTCCCTACAAAAGCACCACCTACACGTCCTCCACCACCACCAACGGCACCAACTTATTTACCCCCCACACAGAGGCCACCACCACCACCCAGTCCACCGTCAACGTACTTGCCCCCTACCAGACCTCCACCTCCTCCTTCTCCTCCTCCTACAAGACCTCCTCCACCTCCCACAACTAGACCTCCACCACCTCCAACAACCAGGCCACCTCCACCTCCTCCACCTCCAACAACCAGACCGCCACCACCTCCTCCGACTAGATCTCCTTCTTCACCTTCACCAAAAACTCAAACAACTGGTTATAATTATCCTAAACCAACAGTCCCATTTACATTCCCTACCAAAGCACCACCTACACGTCCTCCACCACCGCCAACTGCACCAACTTATTTACCCCCCACACAGAGGCCACCACCACCTAGTCCACCATCAACGTACTTACCCCCTACCAGACCTCCACCTCCTCCTTCTCCTCCTCCTACGAGACCTCCTCCACCTCCTACAACCAGACCCCCACCACCTCCTCCGACTAGACCTCCTCCTTCACCTTCACCAAAAACACAAACAACTGGTTATAATTATCCAAAACCAACAATACCTTTTACGTTTCCACCACCAACAAGGCCTCCACCACCACCGAGCCCACCATCAACATATTTACCACCGACAAGACCGCCACCTCCTGCTACCCGACCGCCAACGAGAGCGACTCCACAACTTACTCGTCGGCCTCCACCACCAAGTCCTCCATCAACATACTTGCCACCGACTAGACCACCTCCACCACCAACTCTACCAAGCACAAGACCACCACCACCGCCACCTCCTCCAACGACAAGGCGACCTCCTCCCCCACCACTAACACCTAAGACTCAAACCACTGGTTATGCTTATCCCCGACCAACAATTCCCTTCACATTCTCTACCAGAGCATCGCCCACACGACCTCCGCCTCCACCTCGTCCACCAACTTATTTACCTCCCACTCAACGCCCTCCACCACCTAGTCCACCGTCCACTTATTTACCTCCTACTACTAGACCTCCTCCACCTCCTACGACTACCAGAACGCCGCCGCCACCACCACCACCGCCACCATCTACAACACCCAGACCAGTTACTTACTTGCCTCCGAGTCCTTCAACATATTTACCACCGCCTAGACCGACCCTACCCCCAACTAGGCCACCTCCCCAGCCATCGCCTCCTCCGACAAGACCCACATATAGGACTACGGGCTACGAGTATCCAAATCCCAAAGTTCCCTTTACATTACCCACCCAACCAACATACTTGCCACCATCGCGCCCTACGAGACCTCCTCTACCTCCCTCTCCACCACCAACAAGACCTCCTCCTCCCCCTACAAGGCAACCATACTTCCCAGTAACCACAAAGGCACCTTTCACCACCAGACCACCATATGTTCCCGATGAAGGCTATTACTACGATCGACCGAGAGTACCATTTGTATTCTAAACTAGCAAATAATTTATTATTAAGATGCCATAATAATTGTGATACCAAAATATTACTATCGCGACCGATATATTATAATAGTTAATTTCATATATTATTTTTTTTAAGTAAGGCTGAAAGGTAAAACGCTATTTATTATATATGTATAACAAATACGAAAAATTATTCTCTATTTCTAATACTATGATCATTCAAAATCCTAGTGATACCTAGAATTTGTGAATGTTTTCAGTATTTTTTTATATATTGTACACTACTATATTAATTAATTTTAATGATCTTAATACTCAAAGGGAATTTTCTAAACACTGCCAACTAATTATTACTTTAAGGTTGTAAAAATATTTTTAATAAAAACTGAAATTTGATTTTCTATCTTCTTATTAACCCTTAATGCATTAGTTAATTAATAGCATTAAATAGTAACGCAAAATGCTTATTTTGATCGCAAGAACAACTAAAATACTCAAAAAGTAATTAAAAATAACGACATGAAAAGTTTTTTCAGTATTTTCATTGGATAATAAAAACAATAGAGATTATTTAAATTGATTTTAATATTAACTTAGACATTCGTAAATTATAAAAGCATGAAAATTTTACCTACAATTACTTTAAACTAAAACATAGAAATCAATATAAGCAGCAAAGAAATTCACTGTTGTACATAGATGTAAAAAAGTTAATTTACACTGTGTAATAGGCGTTTAATAAACACAGTAGTTTCATTTGTTAATATAGGAATGAGGAAAGTAGCTGGGACAGATTAATTGTACCGTTATTCATGTCTCATTTACCATTTTATTGACAATTTTTTATGCAGTTATCGTAGTAGTGGAAGTAAATATCTATTGTTAGAAGTATTGCAATATATGCAAACATAAGTTTTATCTTTAATAGCTGTGAGAAACTTTATATTAAAATATATTCAAGAGATAACGTAAAATGTATGAATAGATTTGAATAAAATTTGTTAAATGTTTCAAGAGAAAAGATATTGCTTTAGTTTTCAGAAATCCAGAAATTATTTCGTGTCAGCTTAGTATTTCTCACGCAAACCTGGAAGTAATTACGAAAGCAACAAATTTAAGAAATACAAGACAGCAATTTAGGAAACAATTTTAGCTCACGTAATGTCGAATAAAATATACATAAAAACCGTTTCACCTGTCTTAGTGTGCGGGATTAGGAGCGAACATTGTTCGCCGTTGGCACGCTCCACTGATTGACGCTTAGCTGTAGTGATGGTCTTATGTCCATCGATATAAGTTTATACATGCAAGCTAAATAAATGTAGTTTCCATTTTATTATAATTGATATAGAAAGATTATTAGAGCAAGTGTATGTTTTTACGTCGTTTATTTTAGGTTAAGAGAAACTGACATTACTGCTTATATACTAGTTCAATATTCGTCGTAAACTTACAAGAATGTATCTCTCTCTCTCTCTTCAATCGGCAGTTGATTGAGCATCGTGGTCAGCAAGGAAACATCTGGAGCGGACAATCTGTTTCCACCGGTTTCTGTCCAGCGCGTCTCATAACAGTGTCTAGTTTTGATGAGTCTTTCATCATTCCATTTCGGTCCATCTGGTTGGTGAACGACCACGTGATCAGATGATTAACCAGTGGCGTAATAATAGGGTGGCAGGGCTGCCAAAATGCCACGGGCCCCTGACCCAAGAGGGCCCCTGCCCAAGAGATATTATGTTCTATGGATGAATGTGAAGTCTCCAATACGCATTGGGCTAGCGTGGGGACTGCAGACCATTACCTCGCTAAGAGAGGAGGCCTATGGGTTAGTGGGGCATATACAACGTGTAATTGAGTATACGCTGAAAATCTACAAGTTTATTAAAATTAAACTGAGTAGGGATGATTTTTACTGATAGGGTCCTATCAAAAGAATTGCCACGAAAGAAGATTTGCCATGGGCCCCAGATGGTATAGTTATTCCACTGCCTTTAACATTCTGTGTTACCAACTACGATCAGCTTACGATACAATATTGTATATACTTCAGTAATCGACGCACGCATATATTTGTCTCAATTCTGAATGCGAAAAATAAAACTATGTTAAATTCTAATGCAACATCGATATAGCCTCGACACCAATGAAAGTGAACGAGCAACACTATACATCAACAATCTCAAAGGAAAACACATTGTCGTGTGCACTCACAAAGAATTCACATTTTTCAGCGCAGACGCAAGCGTTATAACAAACAAATAGTTTCTAACAACCACTCAGTGATGTGACAAAATGTCGAGTAACAGCAGTACAAGTAGTATACGGCAATTTGGATTATACAGGACGATAGATGCAAGGACTGAGGAGTTTTTGAGGCTTTCGAGGAAGCGGCAACTCCGGCAAGGATGCATTTGTGCTGCTATTTCGACGGCAATTACAGTTATTGTTGTGATTGTAAGTTTTTTCTCGCTTTAACTTTAACTTTTTCGTAATTATTTGTGGGAATTCTCTCTAACAACTATTTACATAAAAGTTCTTTTAACATCTCAATACCTAAATAAAACTGTGTTTCCGTGTTCTTCTATAATTAACAAGAGAGAGTAAGTTCCTATAGATAAAACTCTGCATTCTCGCATCATATCATCGTTAATTAATTATTTATAAGGAAATTTTCACTTTTCCGAGATCGTAAATGCTATTTTTTCATAAATAAAAAGTTATAAGACTTGAAATAACATATTATACTTGAATAATTTTTAATTTTGATATTTCTGTCGTGGATTCTTGTGTCGATTTTAATGTCACCAGTTGAGAAAATCGTCACTAAATATAATGGTAAAAAGCAAAATATATCATGCGATCCATTTATCCAAAAGTATTTGCATTATATTCATGTTTTTCTTGATAGTCAATGATATCTTTCCAATTTTAACACTTAAAATTTGTAAATTAAATTTGTTTTCGCGAGAACGTGTACATGTGTTTGTTTAATATGTTTGTTGTATTGTATTGTGTTTTTAATTCAATGTTTATCATACAACTTGGTAAGTATTATTATGTTACTTAATTTATATTGTGAATTAACAAGTATCGTTTAGATTTTTTTGTTACTTATATTTATCAGTAAATAAAAAGACATTTAAACATTTTTTTAGTGATTGAATATAGTCCGTATATTTTTGTAATAATTAATTATTTTATTACAGATTATTATCCTTATCTATGAGTACAGTAACGTGACCAATGCACATAATATCAAACCAAACTGGTTGGGGCTAATGAATCAAAGCGACCCATTACAATTGGACCCATCGCATAAAACGAAATTCAAATTAGATCGCACGACAATACAAATCCTACCATTGCTGTTAAAAGCGTTTACAAAAAATAAATATTATGACCCGGACATCGAAGATAGTTCCAGCCCGAGTCCTAATCTGAAAGACGAAGACACAACAGAAAAAATGCACAAGAATATATTTGCTGATACCAGTAACTGGATGAAAATGCCAACCTCTAGAGTTTATGCTATAGAATTCAAGACATCACCCATTGTTTACTTTAAAAATCCTACTAGAAACCTTGATTATTTTAGAAAAATTAGAAAAATAAGAGATTATGAAAGAGTAATGAATTACGTTGATAAAATGATAAATGATAAAGTTACATTGGGTTCAACGCAACCTATGGTAAGGACAGATTATAACATATACGACAAATCTAAATTTTCAGAGACGGCAACAATTCCAATGATAAAATGGCAAACCACAAAACCAAAATCAATGAAAATAAATAACGAATATTTTATCGAACCAGAAAAACAAATTAATTGCAGTTGTTCCTCCAATATAAGTTTATTAATACGTAAACTTATAATGAGCTTGCAAAAAATTATGCCAGATTTAGTTAATACTAAGGTAGAAAGTGTAAAGATTAATTGTACTACCCATACGGTGAATACTGACTTAGAGTCTAACAATCATAAAGTTAACACTACAAAAGATAGACATTTATTAAAAACCAACAGACAAAATGAAACTAAGACTCAAGTTCCTAACGCGTATTTGAAATCAGATTTAGAAAAACTAAAAAAATCCAGTAGAAATTCTAGTAAGAATGACATGGCTATAAGTAATATGTTAAGATTACTAAAACCAAACGTAACATATAATAAAAACAAAAACATCAATCATAACTTACATAATTATAGACTATTTGAAAAAAAACATAGCACCCAAGTGGAGAATCGGATAAAGCCAGAAAAATTACCAAAATCTGATGATAATATAAACTTGCACAAAAGTACCTTTGAAAGAAATCAGTCATATAACAGCATCGATCACTCCTCTAATAAACACAATATATTTGAGAACATCAGTGAGTCTACTGCTTCATCTGTAATTGATGATTATTATGAAGACTATACACAAACTGATCCTAATGATATATCAAATATATTTGACATTTTAGATACTCATACCTTAGAACTCGTAAAAAACAACATTATTTCCACTAAATCGCATAGTTATGTTAAAAAAACAACTCCAAATGATCAAAAAACATTTACTACTAAGCCTCGACAATATGATTTTGAAGATTATAAAAGAAACGTATCGGATGAAAGGTATGTGATAGCAATGAACTCTTTTGAAGGAAATCGTCATATGTTACAAAATGACACATTAGTTGTATTAAACTTTAACAAAACGACTACAGTTAAAAACACTGAATTTTATTCAATTGAAGAACCAATAACACATATTGAAACAAAATACATACCAACAATTAAGCCAGAAAATAATAGAAATGAATTACATGAAGATACTAATCGAGATGAAGCTCTTGAACGAGAAAATGATAAACTTGAAGAAGAAATGGAAAAATCAACTAACGAAGAATCTACTGAGGAAGATTTTAAACAAATGGAAAACATAATTGATAATTTTAAAAACGATAATAGCCGCTCCTCTAAAAGACAAAAAACCGAACCAAGAAATAGTTCTGAGTTATATTACTGGGAATTCATAAAAATTCAAGAGCATGCTAAAAACATAAGCAAGGCTATTTTATCTAAAACTCCTCCTACTTATTTAGAAATGCAAAGAAACAATTGGAAGCAAGAAGAGACTAATAATATCATAGAATATGATGCTAACATTAATAACTATATTTTTGAGTAATCACTTTAGTGACATTTAAATGTATTATTTATTAACTTCCTAGTATTCCTAAATAAAAAAATTATTTGATAAAACAAAAACTTTTTATTTCTACCAATTTTAACCCAAATCAAATTACACCATAATGCGCCTTATAACTCTATAGATGTTTTTGTTTCAGATAGTTCTACTGATCTACGAGTATTTGATTGTAGTAGAAACTAGTTTAGTACAAAATATTAATTCTAAATATAAATTTAAGCATGATCAGCCTATTGCCGATAAACTGGATAGGAGTTATTTTGGATTTGATCAAGATTACTTTGAAAGAATGCCTTTGCTTGTTAATGCATTGCAAGAAACAAGTTACATAGATCCGACGTCGGAACATGTATCTACAACGACATTACGAAAAAAGAAGCAACATTCTCAAGTAAATAATATTAGGCCTGAAACATCACATACAATTTATAAATCTATACGTAGAACTACGCCAAGGCCATTTATATTTGAATACCGTAGTCCTAATCCTACGCCTTTTAGTCGAAGTTTTAACTCTCGTAGCTGGGTTGAAAGTTATCGCAATGCTCAAAGACTTAAAAACTTAAATCAAGTCATAAAATATCTAGAAAAGACTTTACATGCAAAGTTTGGAGATATTTATGAACCGTCCACAGCACAAATAGCATTCTCTGGTGTCTACGTTGCTCCTACAAAGAAAAAAATAAAGCCCGTTGAAGATTGTCATAAATCGCAAACATCTCAAAGTATTGAGTACAAATCTAATCACCTGTCAGACCCACTATTTGTTTATAAACCAGAGAATCCTGGAGATATAAATTTGTTGGCCGATGGGTATAGATTTTCACCTACGCTCAAATCACACATAAGACATCTTAACAATAACATACCCATGTTCAGGCCGGTTAATAAAAGAAAATGTGTAGGATCCTTTTGTGATTATTCGTCTGTAGCACAAAATAGCGATTCTGTAGATGCTAGAGAACCCCACTCAACTAAAGAAAATAAACCACGAGCATTCGGCGTAATGCTTGATTTATATCCAATACATTCTTCTAACTTTGATGAAAGTATTGAAGTAAAAAGTACGTCTCCAATTGATAAAATTTATTTTACTACGGTGCGGCCATCTTATCAATTTAAGAAAAAGTCAAACCATAATAACATGCACGTAAGACGAACATCGTTTAGACCTAAGATTTCAAAAACTCGCGATGAGAAAAGAAATTCAGATGTAACAACTACTCAGACATCTTCACACATAGAGACAACAACCGTCCCTCAACTAGTAGTGCGTTTCAATGTATACTCAGTTAGAAAAAATCCAAGTATTATAAAAGAACCAAACTCACATCACACTGCTACTACTACGACAACCACAACAGAATCGATTAAACATGACATTCAACTGCCGGTCATAGCTTCATCTAATGTTGAAGATTATCACGCAGGAAGTTCAGGAATTATTCCGGTACAAGATAGAACTCCTGCTCCATCTACATATCCAATTATCACCCCTACAATAACCCAATATGATCAACAATACCTTTCAACAGAGTCAATAACGACAAACCCGCCAGATATAATCAAGTTTAGCCCTGAGGATGCTAAAGTTCCCGATGAATACATAAACTTTAATATGCGAAAATCTGACATTAGTTTAATAAATGAATCCGATTTAGAACAAAAATACAGTGAATACATTGAACCTAAACTTGAAGCTGACCACAGTAGCGCAGCATTAAACGGACAAGAGAAAGAGGAAAAAACTCTAGTTATAAAACTGAAAAATATCGTTGGAACTACAACTGGTATACCCACAACAGAAACAATTGAATATACCGAAGAAAATATAGAAGAAAATACAACTACAAATGAGCCGGGAGATACATACGTGCCTACAATAAACGGGCATTATCGAAGCAGTAAGAGAAAAACACTGAGCACTTTATTTTACGAAAACTCAGAGAAGTATAGAAAAAAGAAGATTGAAACATCGATCACGTTGCAGAAATCAACATATGTACCAATGTACGTAGAAATAAAAAGAAATAGAACATTCACCTCGACTGAATACTATTAACTGTGCTCTGCTTCTTCTTAGCCCACCGACTTACTTTAGGGTTTTAAATTTCGTTACCTATGCACTAATTGAATATACTGTATCTTATTTTGATAGGGGTTATTAGTAATAAAAAATATATGATAGAACATGTTTCGTTTTACTTAATTTCAGCTTTAGCACATTAATATACATAACTGGTAATTATTGCTTAGAAAAACCGTGTAAACAGTTTAATGTGGTTTTTTTTATAGAACGGGGGCAAACGGGCAGGAGGCTCACCTGATGTTAAGTGATACCGCCGCACATGGACACCCTCAATGCCAGAGGGCTCGCGAGTGCGTTGCCGGCCTTGTTGTGGGTATCTCTGTCACTTGTATCTTGATTGGGTCCTTAGAATGTGATCTTATATAAAATAATTATACAATATTATAACTCTTAATTATATTACACGATTAGTATTATCAACCTAGCGGAGCAGACGCTCTTGACGGGGACAAGGATTAAGGGAAACTGTAACTATGCCCCCCGTCTATAGCGAGCATATAGGGCTGTTTGTCTTAAGTGGCATTGCACCTCACATACCGAGCCCCACACCCCACATCACTTTAACAAGTTGCCCCGGCGTGGGAATCTGTAAATTGATTTCCCAATAATAAAAAAAGGTATTATCAATCTCTAATCCTAACACATGTCATTTTAGAGTCTCAGAAGAAAGACAACAAGGGGAAGGCCCTTGTTGTCTTTCTTCTCTGTACGTGCGAAATTATAAATTTTTTAACTGAACTGACCTTTTTTTAACTGAACGGACTTTAAAATACATTAAAAATAACTACGAAGCAAAAAATATTAAGTCTTAAGTTTCTCAAATTTATTCACATCAAACGGTAGATGGAGTCACAGGAAAAGTCTAGTTACAAAATACAAAGTGTGCATGGACTCGTACGACACCGCTCCATCACGGCAGTATTAAAAACACTAATTATGTTTTAATTCATTCATGATATAAGATAATTGTTGCTTTAGATAATTACCTATTCAGTTCAAACTTTCAAGCGCAGTTACATCTAACATGCAAATGTTATGTACTAAGTCACATCCTAAATAGACCACAAGCCCATGAACAAAAAATACCTGTGAAATGACCCAACGTGAATTACGCTTAGAAGGCTGTTACTATATCTGAAAATAGCTCTGAGCACTATGCCGTCATTTCTGAGCGGTACATGTGAGTACGTGAGTGAATGGACTTTCTCATGTACAATGGGGGAATTTCGACTAATTATTAATGTACGGCTTTGTTATAAGTGTATAGATGATTAAAAATAAATGTCGAAAAACATAGTGCCGTACTAAAGTGATGGTGCCGGAAGTCGGTGCAAATTTTTAATTCGATGACAGTTGCAGGAGCAATATAGGTCATTTATTACTGTACGGCATTTGTGTCATTCCTTTTGGACACATATACAGATACTTTACCCGTGAACGCCGTACATATTCCCAGCGGAGCGGTCGAAAGCCAAGGGTCGCAACATATGTCTGATTAGCATAAAGGTGATGATGATATGAATCAACATAAAATTAAATGATCTTGAGAGTACTTCACAAATAGATAACATTTTCCAGCATGCCGTACATTTTTTGTGGAACACATAGGTGTATGGGGCAAATTACTTTTCTCAGAAAAGAGTCATTTTCCGGTGACTTTTATCTGTACGGCAATAACACAGGTTATTAATACTTTAGACAATCTTCAATAAAAGATAAATGCCGTACACTTTCGATAGTCCGCTACCACCGCCTACCAATACAGGGCGTCCCAAAGTTATGGGAAATGAAGGGAAAGTACCTTAAATATCGTAGATAGGGTATTTTACTAAAAGAAGACTTTATGTTATTTTTAAAAGTTATTAATTCTGCATTCAAAGATTTTTTAAAAATTACTTGCCTCGTCTGGGAATCGAACTGACTTAAATGTAAAAAAAACACCCCTACTTTTATGATGCCAATCGAAAGAATGGCCAAAAACTAATAACTCTTCTTAAGTAACATAGTATTTTAAAAGAAAGGAACAGCGTGAATATATCTTTTTAATCAAATTAAAAACATTATCTATCGTATTCGGCCTAAAAAAATCCCCTACGAGTCTGTTACTTTAGAAAAGTTATTAGGTTTTGGCCATTCTTTCGATTGGCATCATAAAAGTAGGGGTGTTTTTTTTTAATTTAAGCCGGTTCGATTTCCAGACGAGGCAAGTAGTTTTAAAAAAATCTTTGAATGCAGAATTACTAACTTTTATAAATAACATAAAGTCTTCTTTTAGTAAAATACCCTATCTGCGATATTTAAGGTACTTTCCTTCATGTCTCATAACTTTGGGACGCCCTGTATTATATATATTTTTGTTAAAAATATTTTTCCTTTACCTCTCTCTGCTGGTACGATAAGGCTGTAAATATACTTTACAGCCTTATGGTAGTATACTCAGATATGTACAGTTATTAATGACCTTAAGGGACACCTCAAACGTCGTCGAAGTTTTTATCAGCTGTAAAGAATAATCTGGAGTAAAATGTACGGCATCTGGTTTTTTTGTTTATTTATATTTGTTACATATAAAATAACAATAATCTTTGAAAATATTACTCCCCATATTACTCTAGGAGCATTTGAAAAGTCATCTAAATTTCGGAAATTTCATATATTTTTTATCATAATATTTTTATTTGTTACCATTTATAATGAACGGCTATAATGTACAACGGTAATATTTAGTAACATTATGTAAAAAAACAAGTTGCCGTACATTATTCTCTGATCTTACAGCAGTAAGAACTTGGTAAATCCTGAAATTTCGATAAATATTTAATTACACAAATATTAACTATAATATTTGGACGGCATAATTATAAAACATTATTGTCCGTGTTAAATAATATTTTGAACATGTTGCCGTACATTTTACAATGACCTTAGGGTATATGGGTGTAGGGGTAGGGTTCCGACCCTTGGCTTTCAACCGCTCCGCTGGAAATATGTACGGCGTTTACGGGTAAAGTATCTGTATATGTGTCCAAAAGGAATGACACAAATGCCGTACAGTAATAAATGACCTATATTGCTCCTGCAACTGTCGTCGAATTAAAAATTTGCACCGACTTCCGGCACCATCACTTTTGTACGGCACTAGGTTTTTCGACATTTATTTTTAATCATCTATACACTTATAACAAAGCCGTACATTAATAATTAGTCGAAATTCCCCCATTGTACATGAGAAAGTCCATTCACTCACGTACTCACATGTACCGCTCAGAAATGACGGCATAGTGCTCAGAGCTATTTTCAGATATAGTAACAGCCTTCTAAGCGTAATTCAGGTTGGGTCATTTCACAGGTATTTTTTGTTCATGGGCTTGTAGTCTAAAATAGATAACGTGATTTTTTATGGAGCCAGGGCGTACGTGCAGGAGCTCGCCTATAAGCTAACCAAAGAATTCCGATATCGTGTAATTGAATCAATAATTACTTAACAATTGACTAGCGTACTGACAAAATATATTATTTTATTATCAATCCCAAGTACCATATAGCGATGATGTCGCAAACTTGGAATAACATAGCATGAAAACTGAATGTTGGATTTAAAATCATAATTGCAGCAGCGTGGTAAGCTTACTTATGTTAAGGATCATTAAGAATATTGTAATATAACCAAGGCTATGTAATAATAAGTAAATCAAAGCTTTTTATTAAAATTCTTAACATTGTCGCCTGTAGTTAGTATTTATAAGCAAGTTTAATTTAATTCAAATTATCATATATTACAATTGGGTGATTTGGTATCTCGGAGGAGATTGAAAGGTTTCAGGCAGTTTTTCTAAGAGTCTCAATAGTAGACCTACGTTAGTAAGTTGACTGTAAATAGCCCTGTGGCTTGGGTGAACACGCATAGCCGAATACAAACATATTAATAATTATACAATAACACTCTTTTGTAGTACGTTGTGGAAGTATGTATAAAAGATAGGTAAGTTTACTAAAAAAACTACGTTGTTTTACTGAAGATTAAAAAATATGTGAAATAAATATAAAGTCCATAAGTATTTTCGTATTTGTCTTAATAATGAGAATTATTTAAATTAAGATACTTACACACAAAACTTAATGCCAGAATTTTATTTGAAAATAAAAACGCCTTCTAATAAAATAACGCAAATTTCCACATCTCACCTAACGTAAGGCGCTTGTGAGCTAATCATGTGCGTACATATTTCAAATTGGTATATTTTCGTTTTATATTAACCGACATAAAAAATTAAAAGGGTTATAAATTGATTTTAACCACGTGGTTATATGTTATACTTATTTAAAATTTATCTATTGTTTTACATATATTTAATACTTTTACTGAACGACATTTCACATATTATGTTCAATTATTGAAGAACATATATTTTAAATATCATATAAATCCAAGGGACCTGTCCCGGCTTCGTATGAATGTTTTTTTAATTTTGGAAATATTTCCTCAGGAATTATGACAGCTACTAAAATATACGTACTAACGGTGTAATATTTTTTTGCAAACGGATAAGAATTGAAAAGTTTTACATACATAATGCATTTTTCTGTTTACAATATTCGTATAGGTTATATAGAAATAGAGGGTCATGGCTATAGTTTTAGGCACGTTCTAGTTGTTTGTCATACAGTACTTTATATATTCCTAAAGAGTAGAGAGAAATTCCTACAGAGTTGCCACTCAACATTGTAGCGCACTAGCGCCGCCTGGAGATAGTTGCGCTAACTAATATACTACCAAACCCGCGTAGGCATATTATTTTAAATTACCGTCGACCATTTTGATAATGATACAGGGTGTTACACTAAGACATTAAGCAAAGCATATATTTTTAATTAGTAATTTTAGAAATATAATAATGGGAGTAAATGAAAGTAATAAAATAGAATCTATTACTGTATTCTTCAAATATTTAAAAGCACAGTTCTCTCTGTTT